GTGTAAGTTACATTGTACTGTTCCTGGTACTCGCTCTTGGAATAGTGATTTGTTAGCACAGTTGATGTTCTGGTCATTCATGGTCATGGTGACTCCTGCAACACCCATGAGTGCCCCAAACACCATCCCTCCAGGATCCTTTCATTGTCCTAACCTATATTTTAGCAGCTTTCCTGTGATGCTTGTAGAGACAGGAAAGGGGGCAGGAATGAGTTTGGATTAGCACCAGATCTGGAAATATTCTCTAGCTTTTGTGTTTATATAAAACATGTATTTGGATGAGTTTTTCTGGAATGATGTCTGTGGCACATTGGGAACATGATGATGGGTAGATATGGGGGAGACATTTCTGTGGAAACAGTGACTAATCATATTCCACTTAGTACATCCACTGTAACTCTGCTCTTTAACAAGGAGCACAGCATCTCAGGCAAACTTGTGGGAAGAGTGTCTGTAGCTGAAGACAGGCTAACTAAGTTGCTAGTCAGCTCAGGCACTGGGTTTAGTAAAAGTACTTAGGAAAATGGAAACAGTAACCAGAAAGTGTAAAAAGATATATAACTTTGATTTTGGATGAAGAGCAGAGAGAGTGGTAACCAACTCTTAGCTGTTTCTCCCTGAATTATCCTGATTCGCTTTGCCATTATCCACAAAAGCTGTTTTTGTAGACTCGACTTTGTCAAGAGAAGTGGTATAATCAAATTTTCCAGGACCCTGAAATCAATGACATGCTCCTGTAGCAAGAAGGAGATCTGGTTTTATCTTATATCGGTTACCCACTTACTTGATTTCCTGTAAGGCAATGCTTAGAGGGGAATAAACCACTGAAGCCTGATAATTACAGAGTAGCCTTCAGATCCTCCTTATTTGCAGCTCTGAGTTACTGTAGCCATGACACGCGTTGTGATGCTGATTCAGATTAGCCTGGTGTTTAGTAAGCACCACCCAAATGGCAGGCATTTACCAGAAAATTTCGACAAACCTATGTTTAAATAGCACAGTATCTATAGATTTAATCATTGCAAAACCTTTGAGAAGTAGCTGATATTCCCGCCCCCCCAAACCCCCAGATCAAGTTCTGTTTTCTCCAGGTCATAGAACTAATAGCGAAATTAGCACCATTTACTTAGCTCTGACCTTGAAACTTGAAACTCACACAGTGCTAACAGTTTTGCCTATGTTCCATTACTGAATCTGCTTCACCACTTTATGGGATAGTTAGATTCAAATCTAACTACAGGAATGAAAGGCCGGGTACTTGGAAAAGTGAAGTAGCTCCTTTAAGACTAGGGAAGGAGTTACAGGAAGGAGTTTCAGAGCCCTATGTTCAGAACATGGCACAGTCAAATTTAGGCCAGGACTGCTACACCCCTCTCTTATATGATATGTTGCGCTGTATAGCCACATCTGCCTGCAGTAACCAGTTGTTGCTCACATTTGACCACGTGGCCTTTAGTGAGCTTGTCCCTCTTCCTGTTGCTATAATTCCCGCTAGTGTATAAAGAGTGGATGTATGGATCCTTGGCGTCAGGTCTGTGGTGAATAGGGAGGGTTACCTTGTATCAGAGGTGTGTCAACACTGACACATGCCCCTTCCTGAAGCTGAAGCCACTCTACCTCCTGGCTCTTTTTCCAGACTTCTCTATAAGCACTGAGAAGAAAGGGCCAGCTTGAGATCGAAAACTGACAGACATACAGCCATTCCAGAGGATCAGCTCAGCTTTGATACATATGGAGATAAGGAAGACCAAAAAATGAAAATCCAGACGATGGAAAAGCATGAACCTGTGGGAATGCATGGCATAGAGTAGACTGACCTGGTGATGACTGGCTGGACCTAAGTTAGCCAGGCTCTTAAATCAAAGAGTTGCACTTTTTCCCAAGCCTTGGTACTGAGCCGAGAGTGAAGACAGAGTGCAGCGTGTCTGGGCTTTTCCTTTTGACCTTTTCAGAATCCTAATTAAGGATATTGCAGATGCCCTATAAATGGATCAGTCTGCAATTGGATGCCAAAGTGTTTATACTCTGTCTAGATCTAAATGGTGCCCAATGGCCCTTGTAGATCAAGAGCCCAGCTGTGATCGATCATTTTCTCATCAGTGAGCCTAAAGAAATTTACTTTTAATCTCATTTATGGACTCCACCAAATCCTGCCAGTGTAAATTTATATATATATATATATATATATATATATATATATATATATATATATACATATTAAAATAAGCAAAGAGAGTATATAAGCAGAGAGTATTATATATGTCTTCCTGTTCTCTAGATACTTCTCTTCTGGGATTTTTAGGGCCAGTGTACTTTATTAGTTTATCTCAGACAGACACTGAAAATGTAAAGAAATATAATTGAGTGGAGTTTATACATTTCCAATACTTGGGAGCAGTGACTGAACGTTCAGACTCTTATTTTAATTTCTGTATTATCTATAATGATTCCAGAGTTAGAGTCTTACATTCCTCCCTCCATTCTTTAGCCATTGTTGGGATGCAGAGAAGTGTGTTGCAAAGAAACTCTCAACATCCTGTCATAGGAAGCTGGTGAAGCTGGGCTGAGAAGTTAGCTGAGAAAGAGCAGCCTGCCAGACATTGAACAGTGCCTGGGATTTCCTGAGTGCTGACTCATTGGTGAGCCCTGTCCCACCTTGAGTCCTGGTCCATTAATATCATCATCTAGATTTTGATGAATAGGAATGTTGGTAGAAAGGAAAGAATACAGAATTTAATAAGGTCCACATTTGGGTGATCCCCTTGATTGCACATTTAGAGATGGCATCTCTCGTGTGGCTCGCCTTACCCAATATTCAAATCATGTGAGGATGGTTACTTGTGATGTGTTCTAGGACTATTTATTATCTATTTTTTGAAACATAGTTTCATGTAGCCCAGACTGGTCTCGAATTTGCTACATAGCCAAGGATGACCTTGGGTTTCTGATCTTCTGCCTCCAATATGCCGCCTCCTAACTAGGTTCTTTAACTACCATAACCCAGGTCTTTCTACTATACTTGCTAGACAGACACTGTATTGACTATGATAAATCTATAGACCTATATCTTGCTTTAAAAATGAACAAATTGAGTATTATAAGATGTGTTAGTTAGGGTTTCCATCGCTGTGAAGAGACACCATGACCAATGCAGCTCTTATAAAAGAAGACATTTAACCGGGCCTGGCTTACAGTTTCAGAGGTTCAGTCCATTATCATCATGGCAGGAACCATGGCAGCCCATAGGCAGACATGGTCCTGGAGGAGCCAAGAGTTCTACATCTTGATCCACAGGCAGCAGAAGGGGATTGTGTCACTGGGAAGAGCTTGAGTTTATATGAGAACTCAAAAACACACCTGCACAGTGGTACATTTCCTTCAGTAAGGCCACACCTACTCCAACATGGTCACACCTCTTAATAGTACCACTTCCAATGAACCAAGCATTTGAACACATGAGTCTATGGTGGCCATACCTACTCAAACCACATAAGAAGATGTACTTTGTTATTTTGTTCAAGAACAAAATGCTACTATTAACCTAGCTTTGTTAATAGTACTTCACTAACTTTTTTCTTTTTTTAAGGATTCTTTTCTTGTTGCTCAGGCCAAGCATTCGTTAGCCTATTTGACTCTGTGGGATTTGTGATGAAACAGAAGAAGAAAACACACTATGTGTTTCTGCTAGGGAGGCTGTGGTAGGCACTGTCTTTTGGCTAATAGTCTCCTAAAGCCCAGACTTTAGTGACCAGAGTAGATTTTATGGTTGACCCAAACAAGGACCTGGGCCAATCATTTACTCTTCCTTTAGTCTCTTTGTCTTGTTCATTTCCTTTGTATTTACTCTCAATCATTTCCAGTGGTGAAACTCCTCATTCCCCAGCTTTGTTAATTGACCGTGGACTGTGAATGCCTGTGAGTTAAGACTCAGACCTTGTAAACCCTGGGAATGAGTAGTGAAAAGCTACGGTCCTTCTGTCCTTCTCATGGACCTCTCAATTCATATTTCAACTATCAAACACAGTCATGCATCTCTCCTTAAAGGTTTACATAGACAAGCTCTGAAGTACAGAGAGCTAAAATGACAGTCTGGAGTTTCACTGGATGGGGGAGAACCAAAAAGAAATTTTTCAATTGAATGTTGAATAAATGATATGATTCTCAGATAAAAGCTTAATAGATGTTGTTTCATATTGCCACTAATTAAATATATTCTCTGTGTAATAGCTTAAAATAAGAGTCTATCTGATAAAATGAAATGTTTCAATTAAAATATTACATTTTAATATTTTGACCCATAAAATAACTAATGAAATGTTTCCAAAGTAAAGGTTAGTTTAATTCTTCAGCGAGGCATATCTTAAACCTAGAAATGATGCCTAATTATACGAAAATGTTTTAAAAGTTGATTGTATATATTCATCCTCATTATATTTTTATCATTCCTTTAATGCTTTTTCACCCAGATTACAAAGATTTTATCAAGTGCATTTCAGTTTTCCAAACACTACAAATTACGTAATACTTAGTTAATCTTCAGAGTTCGAGGATTTCACTGTACCTGAATCCAGGAAGTGGCTTAGAAATTGGCAGGCATTTCTCTCATTAGCAATTATATATTGAATATGTACCAGAGACAGAATTATAGATAGTAAAAACATTAACATAAGATTCTGAGCTTTTGTACCTGCTCTCAATTTTTGGCTCTGTGTCAGTTCTTCTCAATTAGACTTCCTTCACTTCTTTTCTTCGAAGATAAACCAGTAAAGCACTAGAGTGTTACTGATTAAGAAAACAAACAAAATTTAATATCATCTTTTAAATACCTGCTATACAAATCTGCTGAAAGTCTTGTTTTATTTAGGTCTAAGAAGAATATGCTTATAATATTCACGCCATTGCAGAACTTTTCATGCCCCTTTCTGTGTTTTAAAAGTCATTGTGTGCTTAGTTTATTTGTATTTTATTTTTCATATTAAGAAATTGTCCTTTTCTTACAGTTAATCTCTCTGTATCGAATGATACCACACTAGCCCCAGAGGACCTGCCGACTGTTTCTTCTAGTGGCATGGTAAGTGACTTGATATTTCAAACTACCTACACAGTTTAGAGCGTGTGCAGGCTGCTATGTGGTCTCCATTTAGCCACGCTGATCATCCTTGCCCATAGGGAGAACAAAAAGAAGACCAGCTTTTAGTTAGTTTTAGTTTCATTCCCTTTAACAAATTTAAAACCAACATTTATTCTTATAACATTCTTTTCAAACCTTCTTAAAGACCTAACTGCTATTTATTGTGACCTTGAAATATTTCCACAAGGGCTAGGAGAGTGTTGGAAAACAAGAGCCAGTGTTGTCTGCTTCTGGCCTGGCTAGGGTCTTGTCTGGCTGACCTGATGGCACTGTCCTCCCTTCACTAAGGGTGCTCTAGACCAGGACATTTCCCCCATTTCTTAGAAAGGACTGAGTATCCATCACATGGTGTCCTTTCCCATGGCTTGTAACCAGGGACCTTTAAGGCCATGGAATTAAGTTTTTAAAATGAGCTGTTTTTCATGGAAGGTCACAGGCTGGAAGACAACTTTTATATTGGGGAAAATGAGTAGAAAAAGCGCTGTTTCAGGCTTCTGATTGTTCCTTCAATGCCAAATATGGAAGCCAACCAAAGAATATCAATCTCTCGGTTACAAAGACAGAAAACATAATACCTTGTATTGAGAGAGTGCCCATCTCTCAGGAGACCAGAACACTTCTGCAGATATTGTGCAGCCTGTGCCCACAGCATCTCTGAAAGAGATGCTGTTTGTGTCCTTCCTGGGCAGCTCTTACATGACAACTCCCCCTCAACCTCCTGCTGTCTCTCTCTTGCTCTTGGATTCTCCTCTGGCTTTTCTGACTTCATTCCTTACCTCTAGAATTTTCAAACCTCATGTCTTTACTCCTTTATGTTTCATACTTTTTGTGTATCTGTTTGTATGTATCTGTGTGTCTGTGTGTGTCTCTCTCTCCTCTCTCTCCCTCTGTGTATATGTAGGGAGGCAGTCGGCAAGAACATATCTACATGTTGAAAATCACCATAGAAGAATTCAAATTTAATTTCTTTGCCAGCTAACCCAGAAGGATTTACCTAAAATAGAGGAGGAAATGCTTCCTTCTAGGTTTTAAGATTTTCTTAATTAAAATTCTTTTTGTGCTTTAAAAAGAAACCAATAAAAACCTAAGTTCATTGGAAACTAAAAAATTTAAAGACATTCGCTTGTACATTGCTTCCTACCCTCACAGATACCACAGGGGCCAATTCAGCAGATAGACAGCACTAAGCAGATCAACCGCTTGCAGCCAGTGTTACTGTCCTTAGATTTGATCCTCATTGGCCTGTGGTCCCCCTGTAACTGTGACAAGAAATAGAGAAGAATTGATGGCTATAACTTCTGCGAGGCACAAGTTCTGTTTGCTGAGCCATGCTGTCTCTGCTCCCCTGTACTTTTCCTGGGACACACAGTCATCAAGATGTAATTTCCTTTTTTCCTTCATCTGTAGTTTAGTTATGAGAGAAGGTGCAGTGAAGGTGACTTGCAGCCCCTGGCCAGGGAGCCTTCCTCTCCTAAGGCTCCAGGAACCAGGTGTTAGAGGAGGAAAAGCCTGTCCCCTCATCCTCATTAGCAGGAAGACCAGCTCTCCTCCTGTGCAGTGGGCATGTCTCAGGGCCAAGAGCAGGGAAGAGGGTGTTCCAGGAACTGTCAAGGCATTGCCCCTCCTAAGGATAAGGGTAGTATTTCCAAGTCTTCTCCTTTGTTACTGGAATCATGTCATCCTCACTTCTGCTGCTTTTCCTATTGATTCCTTACTGGTTATTTCTCCACCTGGCAAACAAATTCTTTACATCATCACTGAAAAGAAGCTTTGAGAGGTGCTGTAGCTTGTGAACACTCTACCTCAATGATTTAGGATCTATGGCTTCCAGCTTCGAGGTCCAGGAGACCAATGTCAAAATCTTACATCAGGATGCCTGAGAGGTGTCTAAAAGAATCGCTTAGCATTTGCTCCTTAGGTGAGAGATTCCTCTGTTTGTATTTATGTTCATCAGGGGGATCCCTTTCATACACAGTTCTGACTTGGTAATTTTGGTGGGTTTTACAGCAGCATATTCCATATACAATTGAGACATAGAACATTTCCTGTGTCTCAGAAGGCCCCATGGAAGTACTCTGTTGTCTTGTTTACACCCAATCTTCCTGAGTTGAGAAAGGTCATCCTTCGCTTTTCTGTTGTCCGGCCCTTCAGAGGGCAAATGTTTTAGTCCTTTTAGAAGTCATGGAATGGAGTGGATGCCCACCGCGCATGGGTCTCTTTTACTATGAGGTGCTTGTAATATTTCAGAGTTTATTTAAATTTCTTCACATCTTCATCTCTGGTGGATGTTATGCTCTCTGATTTCGCAAACTCCCTTGCTTGTTTTGCATGTTAGTCTGGGATTCGTGATCCCAACTTTTCAGAAAGACAATCTTATTCGCAAGAAGAACAACCATGAAACTTCACCACTTTGTAAAAATATGAACAACTGCAGCTCAAATATATGCTGTATAAAGTGATTGGATAATACACAAATATAGCTTGCCTAGGTGAGAAAAGCCCTAAGTGAGAAGATCAGCTACTTCTCCTTAAAGCTCCTGTCTGTAGTATCCCTGTCAATCAAGAACACTTATTTTACCAGTCTATATGTATTGAAGAAGAGTGTAGACCAGTGGCTCTCAGCCTTTCTAATTCTGTGATCTTTTAATACAGTTCCTCATGTTGTGTTGACCCCAGCTAAAATTATTTTCCTTATTACTTCATAACTATAATTTTGCTACTGCTATGAATCATAATTCTGTGTCTTTTAGTGGTCTTAGACAACCCCAGCAAAAAGGGTTGTTCAACTCCCGAAGGGGTTGTGACCCACAGACTGAGAACCACTGAAAAAGACATTTATTATTTATATACTCATTGCTTGTTACACTCCCCAATGGAATTAACAATCCCTACACTGGCGATTCTGTTAATAATAGGACTAAGAACCATTACAGTCACATAATTCTACCAGATGGTCAGCCAAAGAAACAATATTGGTTTGATGTGATGTACCTTCTGGGTGAGCAGAGCAGTTAGCATGCATTTTCATGGGAAACAGAAAGTCATATTAATCTTACACATGGCATCCTTGTTGTTTTCTCCCAGTTCAGGTGTACAAAACATCCTGTCCTTAAGTATGTTTAAGTAGACAAATGTTCCAACTTTAAAAATATGTAGTGGAAAACTTCAGATATGCACTGAAATCAAAGAGCAATGTAGACTGCCACATGCATGTCACCTGGGCTGCCACAGGTATGTCACCTGGGCTACCATGTGCATATGAAACCTGGGCTGCCACAGGCATGTCACCTAGGTAGCCATATGTATGTCACCTGTGCTGTCACTGGTATGTCTCCTGGGCTGTCATATGCATGTCACAAGGACTGCCACATGAATGTCATCTGGGCTCAGCGATTACCTACCTTTGTCTGTTCTAGCTCATGTTTCCTACTTTGGGGAGGAGATAGTAGGGCACTTTACTTTTTAAGCAATTCTTTATATTTTTTAAGAATTGTGGGCAAATCCACTTAGTATAAGCAGGGTAATTCTCTCAAAAATGAGATGCAGAAAGATGACTTGACATCTCTTTTCAGGAGATTGTCTTCCTCGACATCTTGAGCTGCTTGATGTTCTTTTCTTTAAACCCTTTTCTCGCTGCCTCTTTGTGTGATGTGGTTTACCCCATCCGATTGGTCATATGTAGCTAACTCCTCTATGGCCCTGTGTTTCTCCACGTGAGCATCTTTGCTCACAGGGTCTAATTCTTCTGTGTGTCTGCTCAGTCATATGCAAATGTACAACCAAGTCCATTGCTCATTTTCCCCACCCACTGGCTTTGTTCCCTGTTATCTCTTAGCTTCGCTGTCCTGCTTTTCTTACTTCCCTTGGAGATGGAAGCACTGTGAGCCCTTTCCTCCTCTCAGGGCTCAGTGGGAATTTTGTCTTCTCCGTACTCAGTGAAATAGACTGCTTCCTTCTGCTGTTCTAACTCCTCACTTACACACTCTTCACTGCCTTGTGTTATTAAGTAATCTCTGAGCAAACACTTTATTTCTCTAAGGAAACTTGTAAACATTATTGATATTTCTTTAATCTTTTTTACTTCCTTAAACTTATGTTAGTTCATTCACGTGTTTGATTTCAGGACGTTCTCGATTTCCCCTTGGGGGCTTATTTTCATTTTTCACTGGCTATTGTTATTCAAATATCATGTAACTAAAGGAGGTAGCCTTGCCAGATTTAACTAACAAAATGCGGAATATTCAGTTGCATTTGAATGCCAGATGAGTATTAAATAATTTTTAGTGTCTGTTCTGAATATTGCGTAGAATGTGCTTACACTAAAAATAGTTATTGCTAAGGGTGAGTGTTAACTGAGGACCTGGTATTTTACCTGTTCATTTTAAATTGAAATTTTTAGTTTAACTTCGTCCTCTGGACAGAGGGTTGACAAATGACACATTTCTTCTTTGAATATGCCATATATTCCAGACCTGATGAAGGCTTTTATTCAGTTAACAAGACCTCTGTGGTATCTGCCATACCCTAACACGAACTCTGTTCTTTTGTTTCTTTGTATTGTTGTGTGCACAGTCCTGTTATAAGTCCTTTGTCTCCATAACATCATTTGTAGCTTGAACCCAGCCTCAGTCCAAAGTCAGTGTCTACATGCCTCACTTGTCTTTTTTCTTCATTCTTGTTTTTCTCACTACCCCACTTTCTTTCGATCTCCACACATAGTTGAGTTTGGGTGGGTTTTATTGCCTCACCCCCTACGAACCGCTCTTGTGTTTACTATCCCCGAGAGACTCACATCAAATGTGCTTGAGTTCTAGAATATCGTTTGGTACTGTATTTTCTTTTTCGAAGTCTGTCCTTACTGTGGTAGCTTTTCACTCCTGCCTATTTCTCAGCCCATCGCGGTTCTCTTCAGCGATCATTCTCATCCATCCCCAGCCTTTCGTGGCATCTGTCCTACCCCCCTGTGGGCACACTGGGTGCTCTACACATTTTCCCTCAGCACATTTGTGATTGTATGAAAACATTCCTCCCAGGTCAGCAGTTTGCAGCTGATGTCTCCAACCTTGACATCTCTCCTAGGTTCAGACAACTTATAGAGGACTTTCAAACTCACAGCACTAAACATTGAGGGTGGCCTGCAGTATAACTACTAATGCACAGATATAAGCATCTTTAAAAAAAAGAAGTAATGTGGGAATTCTAAAATCTCTGAGAGCATATTCCCATTTGCCCTGTTCCCTAAGACCAGAGAGTATTTTGCATAAGAAATGAAGATCAAAGTGCTGGTTCTGCTGAATTAACCCACAGAGGATAATGCTGACTTAAATTCAGGGGGTAGCAGTGTCTCTACATGTATTCCTTCATGATGGAGAGTCTATCTAAAGTCTTAAGGAAGTAACCTTCACTTAACATCAGCTTATATGCAATAACACAAGACATATAGATGTATTTTCTGTGGCATTTAATTAAAACTGATTGTCAGCTACAGTTTAGGTTTTAGGAAAGCCATGAACTTTTAATTTTGGAAAATTACCTATTTAAAGATACATACTAGCTACCTAAGTTTTTATATATGAGACCTTGGTTGTAGACAGGGTTTGGAGGCTAGTCATTTTCAGATAACAATAACAGATTCATTTGGCACTTTAAAATATTAGCATTGATATTTTGAACTAACTGACGCAAGTGAAGCTGCCTACCTCTATGTCTGTATCTGTGCCATTTTCACCTGAACATTAGTCTTTGTGAGGGAATGGATAAAAATTCTTGTTGGAGTTATTCCAGAGTATCTTACATCTCTGGGGAAATTCCAACCATTGGAAGGACTCTGCTGATGTTACATTGCTGATGTGAAATTAGGGCACCATTTTGCTGATTTTAAAGCAAAGAAATATGTTGCCAATTATGACCTTTAAATGTTATGCTCTATTCTCCTAAAAATACTCATATGTGGAAATCTGGAAAACAACACAAGACATGATTAATCATCTTGCAGAGTTCAATAAGAGAGCCGTTATGCAGGTCAAGTGTACACAATCGGAGGTAACAGGAAATATTCCAAGTGACTTCACCTTTTGGGCTCGATGAAAACCTCCTCTCTTTCTGGCCAGATTGGACCACAGATATCGAGAGAACTCCTAGCATATAAAAGAGGTCGATTTGTTTCGTGTGTCATAAAACTCTTGCCTGTAAAGGAAAAGAGAAATCTACCGTTCCACACTTCTTTGCAAGATATTTGCAAACAACTTTCATTATCATGCAATGTCCTCTTCATCTGGAACCCAAGAAGACACAAGTAATGAGTTATTTAGAAATTTTCCCAGATGAGACACCCAATCATTTCTACTGACACCACTGACATTCATTTAGACAGAGAAGGTTCTGGAAATATATGTCTAGGGAACAGTCATTGTTGTCACAGTATCAACAAATGCTCTCTGTACAGCGAAGCAAACATACTTAAAGGATAATTACTGAACAAGGCTCAAATACCAGAAATGGCTGTACAGGAATTCTTTTACATAAGGAAATGACTTACCAAGTAACTTCCTCACAGAAAACCATCAAGTAGAGGAAGAGCCTTCATCCCTATAGTCTTGGATACTAAGGGCGAGAAACCTGTTCAAATCACTCAGGAGTTTCAGACTACAGACTTATATTCTAGAAAAATGTTCTTAGACTTAGAGGCCATTAATTTCAGTTGTTTTATAAGTAAAGTAAGCTGACTGTTTTTAGAAACAGATTCTGATACAGGAATTCCAGGTGTATGTCACTAGTCGAGAGGGCAGTCTTAAAACTGAGTGAGAGAAACAGTTGAGGACAAGGAAACCATGAACAAGGATGTGTCTCAGCTAAGTTTAGCCTCAGCCTGATTCGTGTAGAATTCTGGAATGTAATCTGTACCACAGGGATGTCCCCTCTTTGAGTGGAAGCAGGTAGCTTATATCCTGCTAGTGTTAGGCAGTAGCTGTTTAGTGGCTGTTGAATGACATAAGGTGGTTTGTAAAAAGTAGCCAGCTGTGGTTGGGTAGGAGCTAGATGTGGGTGCATGCATCTACCGATGACAGCAGTGGATCTGCTGTGTATTAAATACAGGAAGTAGGAGGAGTTGCCAGGAAGAAGTTCAATCTTGACAATAGGACAGCACACATGAAACTAACCTGTGTGCTTCAGATCAACGGAACAAAAAACTGGAGATCTCTCACATGGCTTCCCGGGCATGAAGGCATCATGACCATGCCACTCATGGGTGTTCCAACTGCTGACCTATAGTCAACAGACAAAAAGTTATGGTATATTAGGTTTGCCACTGAGAAGTCTGGGACTATACACACTTTGATAGTATTGTTTCTTCAGTCACTAGAGTGTACTTATTAAGATAAGACATAACCTACTTGTGAAGTACTGGATTAGTTGCCTTCTAATAACTTTCTGAGCATTGATAGTGCCATAAAATAGGTGAGCATGGACCCAAGCACACACAAGTAAGTACTTTCTGAACAATAAAAGTGTTTCTGAAGTCTCCCATTTTGATATTCAGGATATTAATATATCTCAGTTGACCCACAGGAAGGCCAGCAGGAAAGAAGGACTTTGTGGTTTGTTTCTGTCGAACAGTGGATGATTGTTAAGGTGGAGGAGCAAACTGTGCAACACACCGCCTCCCTCTCATTGAGTTCTTCATAATCGCCGGCCTCTTTATCCCCTGTTACTCAAGTGAGGTCTCATCAGGTTACATCCTACAGCCGTTATCTTGGATTGTTTCATAGGCGGTTCTGGTGCAGTCTATTTGGAGCCTATCAAGTATGAAAAGCTGCTTTAGAGGATGTCAATAGTCCCTAAAAACAACAAAACAAAAAACCTTCCCTGTTTTCTTTTCAGTACCATAATGCTACCTTTGACTGGGCCTATTTGTCAAAGAAGGAGTGTGTGAAATATGGAGGGAAGCTCGTGGGAAACAACTGTGACTTCGTGCCTGATATCACGCTCATGTCCTTCATCCTCTTCCTGGGAACCTACACCTCTTCTATGGCTATGAAAAAATTCAAAACCAGTCGCTATTTTCCAACCACAGTAAGTAGCTGGGGTATAAATAACTTTCATTTGATTTGCCCTGTATCACCACTAAATGGAATTTTACAAAATGAAAAAAAAAAGTCACCTGCAGTTCAATGTGTCCACTAATACTTTGCACATTTAAAGAATATTTTCTGGTCTTTGCTCGTGTGCACACACATTTAATATAATCGTAGTCCTGCCTCAAGAGACCTTCCAACGATTTGCTTTCATAATTTGATCCTCACTTCTGGCTATAGTACTTGAAGGGAGAAATGTGATGTTCTCTATATAAAACATGACTGAAGAAAAGAACCCTTTCAGCCCATGATGTGTTAGTACATAAGCACAAACTTTTGATATCTCCCAGGAATTTTGATGGTGTAGAATTTCTCAATCATTGACCATACATGTATTTTAATACTTGAATGCAGTCTATGGCCATAAACTATGTTGTGCACTAGGATTGGTGGAAGATGAGGCTGCCATTTGAGCCAAACTTTTCTACCCATAATACCTAAATCTGTAGCACCTATAGTGTAACTGGGTTACATGGATTTCCTCTGCCATACTTGTGTGCTCCAGTGAATTTACATTCAAAGCTATAGCTCTTTGAGAGACAAAGACGAACACTTAGCTACTAAATGTCACTTTTTTGAGCTGGGAAAGAAACTGAGCAACTCTTTTGCTTTCATACTGTTTAAAGGGCCAATGGTCCCAGGTAACAGTGACCTGTTTGACCTCAGGAAACCACTTCACCATGTTATTCAGAGGAGAATGTCAGTAGACAGGAACCCTCTTTTTAATCCCAAGGAAATGAAAATTCATATATCCACTTTAACATAGGAAAATGTGGGCTTTCTTCTTATAGGGAATAAAGGAAAGTGTTGATAACAAGATGTCTAAAAGTAGATATCTCAAGGAATGAACATTTTCCATAAAGAGAAATAAGGGAGGAGTTTACTTAATCTGATTAAAGCAGACTGTGTATATTGGTGTTTGACAGGCTCAGAGCCAGTCTTTGTTTAAGCACAGAATGTGATAACCTATGTACACACATCACACATACACACACACACACACACACACACACACACACACACACACACGGCATTGCCTGGAACTGGGCTCATGGGGAGCTCTCTTTTTTCCCCCGTCTGCTGCTGTTAAAGGCTTCCTTCCTCTTCACTCCTGACGATTAGGTGCTGTTCCTGAGTGCATTTGACATTGTGGTCCCAGGACACATCTCCAGAGATAAGCTTAACCCCAGTACTTCTTTAGTGGATGAATTTAAATAGAAGAGATTCTTGGATATAAAGTTTAAGGACAATTTCTTCTGGATTGTGGTTTTTCCTTTGTAATTACCAGTTCATGGGATCTTAGGGTTTGTTTGTTTTTGTTGCATTGTGACATATTTTACAGATCATTACTTCTTATAGAAGTTTAATGGGTTTTGAGCTTAGTCGATGGAACTGTGGAAAATTTATAAAGCTCTTAGATATTGTAATTTGTAAAACTGGGTGAAAAGACCAACTATCTTTTCTATTTTTTTATTTCAATTGACAAATAATTATATACATTTTATGGAACACAATGTGATATTTTAGCCTATGGTTTACATTGGTGAATGATTACATTAAACTAACTAACATTTCACATGGTCAAACCATTTCTGCAATGAAAATAAAGTCTACTGTTGGCAATTTTGAAGATAGTCAGCATGCTATCCAGTGTTATCTCAGGAACTTACTCCTTCAGTGAAATGGAACTCTGCATGCTAAGGCCCACATTCTCTGTGTCCCTTTGCTCCCTGTTATCTTGGCCTGTGAGCCTCACTTTCTAAGTTTCCATATGTAAGTAAAATCATGCAGTATTTGTCTTCTATGTCTGACTTATTTTACTTTTCAAAAATGTCCTTCAGGTTCCCTCATTTTGTTCCAGATAATAGGATTTTCCCCCTTTAAAATTCCAAACAATATTCTGATTACACGTATAATTATATAACACCCAACGGTAACATTTCCAATGTTTCTATGCTGTGGCTATTGTGGATGGTGCTGTGATGTAGAGAAGTGCACAGTCTGTGGTACAATGATTTTATTTTCCCTCATTATATGTTGAACAATGGGGCTGTTGTATCATATGACATGTTCTCTTAATGCTTTGGTGGAACCTTCTCCTGTTTTCTGTAACAAGCTCAACTAAGTTACATTCCTAACAGTAGATTGCAAGGGTTCTCTAGTTCTCTAAAGCATTCTCATTGAGCATACTTTCACATCTCGTTCCCTGTAAGTTTTTTAAGCCTATTGAGCATGCTGTGGATTTTTAAGTGGGCTATGTATGTTTTATTCTTGAGCTCCTTACATACTTGACATTATCCTCCTGTCAGGTGAGTCGTTGGTGAATATGTGCCCACTTTGGACTTGCCTGCTTACTCTGCTAACTGCTTCTCTTGCTGAGCAGAAGCAACTTTGTTTGATTCAGTCTGATTTGACAGTTTAGAATTTTTTCCTGTGTTTTCTGTCATCAACTCTTGTAATAAAACTGTTATGTTTTTCATTTGAGAATAATCTTCGCCAAGCTCAGCACAACACCCTTTTGTTATGTTTTTCTTTTTCCTAGTATATTTAAGTTTTCAGGCTCTTCAGTTATCAATTTTGAGTTGAGTTTTGCCTGTGTGAGGTAATGCTCTATTTTCTTTCTTCTGTATGTGAATATCCCATTTTCCTAACATCAATCACTGAGGCATCTTATTTTCTCTCCATCGTACCCTTTGGAGCCTTTGTTGGAAGTCAACCAATGGCTGATTTCTGGGATCAGGTTCTGCTCAGCTAGTCTATATGCTACTCTATTATGTTATAGTGTATTTACAAGGAATTAATTGTCTTTGTAGCATATTTAGAAGCCAGGTATTGTGATGACTACAGAAGTATTCTTTGCTCAAGATTACTTAACTATTTGGTATGCTGTGCGCTTCCATATAAATTTTTGTCTATTTCTCTGAAACAATGTCATCAGAATTTTTGTAGGCATTGCATTAGATTTCTTTGGGTAGTGTGGACTCTTTAAAATTATTTATTTTTCTAGTCCATGAACATGGGATATCTGTTCATTTATTTGTGTTTTTATCAATGTCCTTCATTAACTTTTTATCCTTTATAGATTTAAGTATATATATATTATATCTTGTTTACATTTATTTCTCAGTATTTTGTTATTTTGTAGCTAATTTAAATAGAATTATTTAAATTATTAAATAATTAATCTTCCCTTTATGATTTTAATTTTTTTCATACATGGATACATTGTATTTAAACCATTCTCTCACCTTCCTTTTCTCTTACAGTTCCTCCTGTGTCCCCCATAACAATCCCTTCTTGAATTCATGGTTTCTTCTATAATTACAGTTGTGTTTTACACACATATATACACTCACACACTCTACAGAGTCTTGCCTATATATAGGTGTTTCAGTCTTCCTATTTCTTACTGGATGACCTGAGAGCTCACCCCTGAAGAAAACTGAGCCCCACTTCAATAGCCACCGTCTGTCTACCTGTAGATCTTCATCTAAGGGTGGAGTCTTGTGAACTGGATTTTGTTTTTGGAGAGTTTTTGGTAATGCATAGGAAAAAAAAACAGATTTTGTATATTGATTTTATATTCTTAATTTTACTGAGTTTAGTCAGTTCTGGATTTTTTTTTTGTTTTATTTTGGTGGAATATCTAGGGTTTTCTGTTAATAAGACCACATTGTCTGTATCCTAACTTCCTTTCCTACTTGGACGCTTTTTAGTCCTGATATAAGCTGAGACTTAGAGTAGCCTGTAGTCAGGGACAGAGCCTGGCCTGAAACTGAGTAGGCCTAGAGGTCATAGGAGCTGAGTCCATTGTTCCTGACCTGGTATTAGGGGGCGGGGTTGTACCCAAGACTCTGAGACTAGTCTAATGTAGAATGGGTAAGAGACTGAGTTGTTGGGAAGTTATAGAACCTTGGGCTGCTGGAACAGACTAGCTCTGTACAGTCCTTTGTACTCAACTAGCGGCTGAGATCATGGGAGCTCATCTGGTCCTCACCAGTACTGGAGGCCTATTCCCTGTCCTCCTCTGCAACCACTGTTTCTGCCTCTAAGTTGCATTGCCTGGGGTTAGAGAAGTTAATGGGTATAGCATATGGTTTTCTTTCTTACTTACCTGTATCTTAACTTACCTGTAGTCTAGACAGATGTGCTAGGTAATCACTCATCTGGAAAAGCTTAGGCCTGGAAAAGCTATTTCTAGAGTAGAGAGTTTTTCCATCTGATGTTTCTGTGGGAGGAAGAGCATGAGGAAGTCCTGTACGACCATCTTTCTAACTTACCTCAAGCCCAATAGTGATCGTCTTAAGTGCACATGTGAACATAACTTTTATCTTGTAACTTTAACCCCAAAATTCAGACTTTGAAAAAAATCTACCACATAAGTCTAATTTGTAATAAGGTAAATTTTTGCTATTGACAAATCCTACTGAGAAAGTCAGAAAACTGAGAAAATAGAAAAGTAATAACATCTTAGTTATGATTTCTATTGAGATGATTCTTAACTGTTCTGTTGTCTTTGCTTACATGCATCTTACAAGTAAACGTAAATAGTACTACAAACATAATATATGCACATTTGTAAATGAATAATAACACTGTTTATCCCTCACTTGTTAAAATGTGCTTAATTCACCCTGTCATACAGGTGGGTGGCCTCTGTGTATTGAAACAGACAAGTGTGTAGATTGCTGGGCTTACACATTAACAATTAAAACTTACATGCTTAACAGGAGATAATGATTTCATTTATATGTTTGTATGACTTGTTAGCTAATTCCATGAACTGTTTGAAAATTATTAAAATTTTTATTTTGTCATTTATATCAATCTTACACTAGGTACTCAGTATTTGCTCACTTGTGAAAATCACTCAGATAGCAGTAAATGCTGTATTTTGTGAGAAGAGTTGAGAAATAGGAATCCAAGTAGATTCTCATA